AATATTAATACATAAACTTAGAAATTGATTATATATTTTAATATAATTACTTTTAAAATTTAAATATCAACATTTAATAAAATAAATTTTTAAATTTTAAATTAAATTTTAATTAAATAAAGTGACATAATTTAATATTAAAATTTTGATTTATTTTACAAGTCGAGATTGATATGTTTTTCCCGCTAAACTTAACTTTTTATATACAATATGCGTATGTTGAAGTTTCATATCTTCTGTGATCATATCATTTTGATTGCATAATGAAATGGCACATTTATGTTGGTGAGCTAGCCTTGCTAGTAGAATAAAACTCCGAGAAGTCGTTAAGTATTAAAATTGGAGAAACTAGCTCCAGCAAATTGCGGATTGAATTGTCGTCAAGCAAATGCTTATAATAATAATAATTTTTTGGATTTACGGCTGAGGTATTTTTAAATTAACCTTTATGTATCTTAAAATTAATTTTAAAAAAATAATTTTATAATAAACTTTTATCATCAGACTTGTACTTTTAAATAAATTAATTTATTTAAAATTGACTCAAAATCTTGAATTTTAGATCTGATTTACAAGACATTTATAATTAACATAGAGAAAAAGACAGCTCCAAAATTAATATTGTGACTATTAGAACAAATTATACTTCTAATTAATGTACCTAGATCGTTTTCACACATTAAAGTTGCATATGCATAATATGCAACTTAATTAATTAGATACATACCACCTTCCCCATGTCCGAGACACATGGATTCCTTTTAATCATTAATTTGATAGTCATGCATACATAATCATATTAATTATTTATGTGCATAATTAACTAATGTGTGGAATAATTTCTTTCATGGCAGCTGCTTAATTGGAATATAGGCCAATGAAGGCCCACACAACACTAGGTTGTGGGTTGAAAACTTGTGCATGTGGTTTCTTAGTTTCTGGTTGGTTAAATGTCAATTTTAATCATTTAATTTTAATGTTTTACATAATTTTCGTTCTTTTTATTATTTATATTTTTGTATTCTTTAACTATGAAAAATACATTTTTTAATTCTTTTGTTAGTTAGTCTATTAAGCTTATTTAAATATACATATTTTTAGTCTCTTAACTTAAAGTTGATAGACAAAAAATATGCATAATTAGAAGTTAAGGGATTAAAAATATGTATATTTAAACAAATTTAATGAATTAACTGATGTAATGATTAAAAAAGTGTATTTCTTATAATTGATGGACCAAAAAAGTGCATAAAAAAGTTGAAAAATGAAAATAATGTAAAACTTTGAAGTTGAGAGATCAAAATTAACATTTAACCTTTCTAATTAAGGTACCATAGGTAATAACATAGTTGTAATCAGTAGGGATAAAAAAGCAAATCGCAAAAGAAAGATGAAGAAGACATTAATCAATCTTGGCTGTCTATATTGCAATTAATCTATTTAATAAGTACTTACAACCATTTTCCTTTTGTAAATTCAGATCTCTAAATATATGCTGCAAAATAGATAGGATTTTTTAAAATTTTCTTTTAAAATTTTTAATTAGACAATAAAAAATAACAATTTCTTATATATTTTAACTCATTCAAACTGCCTGTCATTCAAATGAATCCATATTGTTCCAGTGGCACATGTTCAACATCACTTTTCACATTGGTGAAGATTATCAAGGAAAGCATTATTAAGAAGATAATTATCGATATATTACACAATGTTACACTATTTTTAAACATATTACAGGCTTTCAGCGATGTGTAAACACGTTGTGGATAGTTCATTTTCTAGTAGTGTAAGTTATTGACAATATGTACTATTAACTTGTCTCTAGTCGGTATATGTTTCGAATTTGTAAGACAAATCAAATCAGGCCACCCTGTGGCTGCCGAAGACAGCAGCCTCGCTCCAAGCAAGAAAGTAGGAGAGGATATGTAAAAAAAAGGTGCCAATGTCCATTTTTCCTCTTACATTCGTTGAATCAATATAATTATATAAAGATTGTGTGGTTAACATTTCAAGTTCCACAGATTCTGTCAGGTTTCCACGTCGTCGTCGATTGTGTTAATCCATTAATTTTCCATGATTTCCTGGTTGTCATTGTAGTTTTATAGTCCGATGGCTGCAATTTCTTAAACCTCACTTAACAAAATGTCTCACACAAATTCAGGTGTAAAGATATGACGAATATATTCAAGGGTGGCTTCGGTTTTGTGAAAGCAAGCAACCGAAGTTTGTGCAATCTCGAAAATCAAAACCTATTAAGTACTAGTATTTTGAATAAAATTTTTGTTCATTCGGAATTTTAAAAATTATTAAGTGCAAAGTCTCACATTAAAAAATAAAAAAGAAACATGTTTAGTTTAAACTAATAAGAATTACTATATTTATAATTAATTGCTGCTAAATATATTGGGTGTTCATATTATATGTTTAGTCTCACATGTTTCTTGCCAAATTAAAAGGAAATTTCCCATTTTCCTCCAACTTAATTATGGTTGCTTTGAAAAATGACATTTACGTGGAAATGAAGTTTAAAAAATTGTTATAGATGATAACTAAAATGCTCAGAAACCAATTCTT